CCCAATGCACTGACAGGAGGAGGACAGTTGGGTAAAGCTACAGCAGGTAATGATACATAAAATAAGCATATCAAAGCTGCTGTTTTTTGTATTATTTTCATTGCTGGGACTACCTGAAGAGGGCATTTTATGAGTTTTCTGGGATGGGGCTGAGCCCGTGCTACACGTAGCACACCACACTCAGGTGCTGGGTTATGCCAGCACTGAAGTATCTGGATAAGACATGATGAATAAATATGGAGAGGGCTTACCTGTTCCTCCACATCCCCCAGCTTATTCCCAGCAGATACTGGTTATTTATTGTGTGATGCAAGTCCACAGACAGCAGGACTGTCCCCTTGGCTTCTTCCGACCTCTCAGAGCTGGATAGAACGTAGCAGGACTGCTTACAAATGCCTTCAGGCTCCTTTTGGTGTTAGWGCAGTAAGTCGATCTATTAGATATTGTTTCTGTAGTAAAATCATTAAAGGCCACATTTCACCATAGAGAYTTCATTCAAGTAGTAGGCATGTGAAAATATATCAGCACAAAAAGATATTGCTACCAAGTTAAGAGATCAGGAATTGTTGTGTTAGAGCACAGCTTTGCATTTATTTAATGCAACATTGTTTAATAAAGTCAGGAATCTCTGTTTATTTTTACTTCATTTTTATCTCCTATCATTTTACTAAAGCTTAATATCAAACTGCACCAAATTGGTACAAGACTAGAGGTGAAAAGTCATSAAACCCAGGCAGAGGGAGCCCCCCAGGCAGAGCCCAGCCTGCACTGCCCCAAAAGCCACACAGCTCTGCAGCCAGCAAGGCATGGAAGAAGGTGTGGCCAAGTAAGGGAAAGTGGCCAGGGATGGACAGAAACCTGGACAGAGCAGTCAGACAGCCCTGAGAGCTGGAGCAGTGTGACTCAGTCCCAAGAGGGTGAGAAGGGGCTGKGTGTACGGAGCTCTGCAATTTAGGGAGTCATTCAAGTTTGCTCTGTGTTGACAGAAGACACAAGGTGGGGAATTTTCTTGCAAACCTCTAAAACCTTCTTCTTACTCAACCCCAGAGCTCCGTCCATTTTAAAATTGTTCTAGCTCATGATTTCACAAGGCCTGGCTTTTGCATTCAGAACCATCTTGGTACTTTTAAGGGCACTTGCTTTGAAAAAGGCCCTATCAGGTCGTCTTTTTGTCTGCCTTTGAATCTTGTCACAGCACAGCGTCAATCAAGAAAATCTTTCCCTTTTCCCTTCCAAATGGGGGAAAGTTATCAGCACAAGTGATTACTTGTATGAAACACTACCCATGTTTGTGATTTGACATCAGGCAGGTGGGAAAACCAAAAGTGTAGTGTATCGAGGCATCGATAATTAACAGCAGCTTAACAAAAGACTCCTCCCTCCTCTGGGACTCAGATTTCTTTGGTTTGTAGCTTTTAGTTTTGACCATCTGTCTGGTTTAGGATGGGACAGAGTTAATTTTCCTCACAGTGGCTGGTATGGGGCTGTGTTTTGGATTTGTGCTGAACACAGGGTTGATAATATAGAGATGATTTTGTTAATGCTGAGCAGGGTTTGCACAGGGCTGGGTGGAGCTTGGCTGCTGGCTGGGGTTGAAACACAACACAAACACGGTTGTGTGGCCATTCAGCATTACAGAACCAGCAAATGCAAGAAGTGCTCCTGACACACTGACTGGAGTCACTGGAGGGGATGTACTGAGCAGCTGCTMTCCAGAACAAGAGATTTCAAGCTGGTTTTGAAGCAAGGACACTAAAACGTSTGCTTGACAAATCAGCGTGTCACAAAAGGCCACAGCGATGCTTTGAAATGAGATATGACAAGTTAAAACCTAAAGATGGATCAAAAGTGTACAGAAATGAAAACCTCCTTTCACTTTGCAAATACAAATCCCCAGTGAATGAYATCTTTTTAAAAAGCAGATACAAATCCATCCTGTTCTCCTCCCTCCCCATCTTCAACTGCTTGTGATTCAAGTGGAAAGCCCCTACTTCTGTCAAACTCTGGGAGCTTTCTGGCATGACACTGCAGAGTAACCTTGTGTGTTAGAAGGACTAAAGGGATTGAAACATCTTTGCATGCTCTCTGTGACTTTCAAACAGATATAAAGAACTTGCATTTTTTTTAATATACTTCTCCAGGTTAGAGAGGCACCAAGTGCATAATCTTGAAGCTGTCACCATTAACTTGCTAGTTTTTAGAAACTCCCTGCTTATTTAATCTTTCTGTAATATTAAAAAAAAAAAACAAAAAAAACCCCAAAAACTAACAACCAAAAACCCAAACTATAGAACAAACTAAACCATTTTTTCAGGACAAATCTACCTTCTAGCCTTTTACCTTTCTTTACCAGAGAGTATTTTGGATGTTTAAGCAATATATTCCTCTGGCAAAGACATGGCAATAAGACACTTGGACCCTTCCCAGACTGGATTCAGGCTTGTCAGCACCAGTCTAAAACAAGACAAGTAACCTGACACAGGATGACCCTGCATCAAGTTGGGCTTGGACAACATCATCTCTGAAGAACCAGCYAGCCTAGATTTTTCTGGGTTTTTAGCATGCATTGGGATGGTCAGGCCCCACTCAGTGCAAATACCATGTTATGGGACAGTATCTTCAGGGTTTATTGGCAATTACAGGCATTGGTAATGATGTTCATGACTGCTATTGGATTTTTAGGCACCATAATCAGCCTTGTTATCTACTGAAAACCTGCCATGTGTTCAGCCATCAGCTTTCTGCTGGCAGCCCTGGCCCCTTTGACCCTATGCTGTCCTGCAGCTACAGTTGTTGCAGGGAACTGGACCTTTGGGACTYATTTCTGCCTAAACTCAGCTATACTCTATTGATTATTTGTCTTGGAAGGAGTTGCTATTTGGATGATTAGCATGGATCATTTTCTAACCACTGTCTAGAGGCAAAACTAGATGAAATCCCACTGTGCTGGAGTCACAAATGGGTTTTTAATGCTTTATGTTTTACCTGTCCTCCGATGGATGGATGGATGGATGGATGGATGGATGGATGGATGGATGGATGGATGGATGGATGGATGGATGGATGGATGGATGGATGGATGGATGGATGGATGGATGGATGGATGGATGGATGGATGGATGGATGGATGGATGGATGGATGGATGGATGGAGAAATGCAAACCAGGGCTCTCCAGCGTGTATTTCCTGCTGGCTGAGCTAATAAAGTCATGCTTGTTGTGGTTATGTAAGTTTTCCATTCCTTTCCCATCGTGCTGCACTTGCATCCCAAGCACCGTCTGTAAGAACATCCTGAGCACCCTCCAATGTTCCCAYAGCCTTTGCTTCAGCCAAAGGAACAAACTTCACCTGATAGGGCTGAAGAAACCTTGCCAAATGACCACAGACCTGAACTTCCAAACAAAACCCCTTCCCTGTAGTTGCCACTGAGCCRGATTTTTGGCACAGTGGGGCTGGAGAGCAGCTGAATCAGCTCACACCAGCATGTCCTGAACACTCCTTTTCTGCACTTCTCCTTTGTATTTCTTTCTCATTCCACTCAGAGATCACACCAGTTTCCTTGGCTTACCACAGACCCTTTACCAGCCCTTGCCCCCTTTCTCTCCTGGGGTTTCCTTACCAGCAGGTTCTACAGTGTCACTGTTGTGGCTCTGGTCCCTCCTGCTGGAAGTGGGGAGCACCTGGTCCCTTGGCCCTGAAGCCACAGCCATTAGTCCTGAGCAGTGAGGAGGAAGATGATGAAGACCTTCTGCACCTTCTGCAGAGTATGTAAGCACCAGCCTCACTTCCACATGTTAGGGATATGGACCAACTCTGTCAGTCATCCTGATTAATCCTCTATTTACCACTAGAGAATATTTGCTTGGCCATTCACACTCCAGGGTTTATGTATCTATGAATCCATGACAAACATAATTAAAAGGTTTTTTTTATTAAAAATCAACATATTTATACATTTGTACATTCCACATACTGCTGTATGTTCACCAATATAACCACTAAGTCCAAAAGCCTCAGCAGCACAGATTTCCATCTGAACAAATTTACTGCAGGGGAACTTCGGTTTTGCAATCAATCATACATTACAGAATGTTATTAACTTTTTTTTTCTTTTCCCTTAAAAAGTAGCAGCACATTTAATTACCAGTGTTCACAAGGCATAAGCCCCAAAGTGTTGTACAGCAAGAGAAAAATTAATTAGCAAATACAGGCAATAGGAAGAGAGCTCACAATGAAAACGTATTAGTTGCTGCCTGTTACGAACAGCAGGATGTTAATAAAACACTTAGAGCCATGCTGAATAGAGACTGCAGCAAACTGGGAAGAGTTATAAAACAAAAAATTACTTCTTGGTAGAACCGTATAAAACAAAATATTTTAATGTCGTTCAGGACAGGAGTCCTGCGAAGAACAGATGTTGTTATAAAGACCCAGCAGTCAGGATAATGCTTGTGTGTTTAAACATGTAATAAAGTTCTCAGAAAACATACACATACTCCACCCCTACCACCGCCTTTCCACAGCTCACATTAGCAGAGCTTCACATGGCTGATGTAATAAAGTGACATTTTACTCAAGACAGATGTGCTCAGGGGTCCCCCAGACCTCTCAAGGTTCACACCCATGTGAGTTAAGTGCTASAAGAGTGACATTATCAGGTAACAAAGGCTGGAAAGTTTCTGGAAATGGGAGCAGGGGGAGCAAAGAGAAGAACTCTCACTGCAACCTGGACTTGTCCACACCTGAGCCACCCCAGTATGGGCTGCCTGGRCAAGTCAGTTCATAGGTACCTGAGTGTGCTCTGTGTAACAAATCCCAAATGCTGATTTTCTCCTGGCTTTGACAATATTACATGAATACTGACCTTAATGTGACAACTTATTCATTTAAATAGAAGAAATTATTTCTTATGAATGTACAGCTGTGAATCTTATTTCGAGCAGAGTGCCAGATTGTGAACAATTTTTCTCATTAGGATTTTTCCTTTTTGACTTGGGAAAACCATGTATGATGACATACACACATCATAGGTAATTTTTATGTGAGGAAGTGTGGAGATATGAAGAAGCTTTAACAAGTGCTTTTTGTATGTACCATCAACTGTAGCAGTGAATGGTTAAAAAAAAAAGTCAGAGCTGCAGTATTGTGATAACTGGAGGCCACATGTTAGACAAATGTGTCTCAATATCTGCAGTCGTCAGTGTGAGAGACTAATCTCATTATGTCCCAAATCACAGTTACAGTGTCACATAAAAAAAATTGCACTTCTGTTTTGGTTTTCACACCTACAAAGTTGGAGGAGACTCATTGGAAAAAGTGAGAGATGAATTACAAATGATTTAGCAAGAGCTAAATTAAGAAGAAATATTCTTGCAGAATCTCTWCTCTCCAAGGGCAGGTCTAAGACACCACATTCTCTAAACCAGAGATAAAAACATCAGGCTTGAACTCCCAGAAAGCATTCAATTTCCTAACAAGAAGAATAGTCAGAGAAATATGTCTCTTTCCTGCCTCTTCTCCCTCACATATGCAATCAATTAATAACCAAATCTGGTTCCTTCTCTGTTCACTCCCTCCGTGCTGCTGCAGCCACACCAGAACTTACCATAGGAGCAATGCTGGCCCAGGATTTCAGGTACATAAACCAAGAATATCAGACTGACAATGCCAAAAGAAAGGAAGGAATGAATTCAGGTTCTCCAGAATGAAGCTCTCTTACCCAAGGGGTGTTGCAGTTATCCCACCTAAGGAAATTTGAATGCAGACCATTCATAAATTTCCTGGTGACAAAGCACAGAACCGCTCTGAACWGACATCTCCAGTWGAGAACTATCCCAGTTGCTCATGTRCTGGATACACATGGGAAGAGCATCATMCACCTGCCACTTCCCTGCTGAGATCTTGCTCTGCCTCTGCCTCACATGGGTTTTCTTTGCTTTATCCTTTAGTTCTCATGGGATTTCCATATTAATTCATTCAAATGAGTTCTAGTATAAAACATTATAGTAACAAAACAACAGGGAACAATGTATGAATCAGTATTTCCAGTCCACATTTGGGGGGACAGGGCTTAAAAGAACAAGGTGCCCCCAACCTAAATATTAACCACACTTTTGATTGCAAAAATGCTACCTTGCATTATTCTGATTTCTGTATTTGTTCTGTATGTACTGTTTTTGCTGCATTTTAGCCAAAGTACACATCTGCAAAAAGATATTGACTATTAATGAAGAATTGTTTAATCTTTTATAGACATATCTTTTCATGAAATAGCAAGTGAGGACTTTCCTGAGGTATGGAATGATATGATCTTTATTCCATTGCAACAGTAGTTCATCACTACTTCATGGCTAGAATTAGTCTAAATCATGGAGAGGGGTCCTTTTTTCAGTAAATACTAACTAAATAGAAAAATAGAGCACRCTGAGGATGCTGGCAGCAAAAGGAAGTATTTCTTATGAAATGCATGCTAATGTACACGAAAGGTTTATAGGGTCTTTGTAAAAATCACTTCCACTCCACAATTATTTTTAAGACAGGGGACCATTTTTCTATATGATCACAGCCAGTTGTACACACAACGTTCAAAACCCATGACTACAAGATAGAGAATCTGCTTATAGCAGTGCCACAGCAGAATCACTCATGCCAGAACYGAGTCAGAAATGCCCACACTTTTTTCTAAGTGCCTCTCCCTACATGTGGCTTACAAAGAATACAAAATTCCTTACTCAAGCTTTTAAAAACAARTAAAATTCAACACAACAGTTTTATTTGCCTCGTTTCAAAATCAGGAAGGAGAAAGATTCAAAGATCTTTTGCTTTAAAGCAAAGTACTCCCCTTATTGAGTACAGCTCTGGGACCCACAGTACAAGAAAGATGTTGAGCTGTTGGTATGAGKTGAGAGTAAGGCCACAATGATTMCAGGGCTGRAGCACCTCTCCTAYRCAGAGAGAGGCTGAGAGAGCTGGGGCTGTTCAGCCTGGAGAGAAGGCTCTGGACAGACCTTACTGCACCTCCCCAGTACCTGAAGGGATCCAGCAAGGGAGCTGGAGAGGGACTTTCTACAGATGCATGTAGTGATAGARCAAAGCTCTATAGGGCCTTAAGCTGAAGGAGGACAGATTTAGATCAGCTATCAAAGAAATTCTTTACTGTGTGGGTGGTGAGGCACAGGCACAGGTTCTCAGAGAAGACGTGGACACACCATCCCTGGAAATGTTCAAGGCCAGGTTGGATGAGGCTTTGAACAACATGTTTTAGGGGAAGATGTCCTTGCCTAAGGCAGGGGGGTTGCAATGGATGATCTTTAAGGTCCCTTTCACCCCAAACCGTTATATGTTTCTATGAGAAAGAGAAGGATATCTTTTTCCCCTGGATGAAGTCTGGTTGCCCCTTCTTGGAGGCAGCTTCCTAAGCCAGCCTTTGTGTACAAGGAGGCTGCATCTGGACAACACTCTGAGGCACATGGTGTGATTCTTGGGGTGTCCTGTGTGGGGCCAGGAGCTGGACTCCATGATCCTATGCATCCCTTCCAACTCAGCTTATCCTCTGATTCTAGAAACGAGCATGKGGACACTCCATTTTGCTGAAAGTTTCCACTGATTTGGGAATTCTGAAACAGGGAGCAGCCATACTAACTCAACTGCATGCTGATCAGTAAGCTTGGAATTTATTAGACCTTTACAGAATTAAAAGAAATGCTTTCACTTTGAAATACTTAACTTTTATTTAAAGTTGCCATTTTTTTRATCTCTCTTGGAGGAAGTTTTTTCTTTTAAATCAACCGCTTTAAAATGTTTAAATAGCAATGTGAATACATATGAGGGCAGTTAAGTAAGGGGTTTGTGTTATTTGAAAAACTTTAATTTACAGAATATTTAGAATATAACAAACCCAGTACCCCTGTAGTGCGCTTTTGTAGATTTCTTACAATTTTATACCTTCTTTCTGTGGTTTTGATTGCACAAAGTCATCCATAAGCACTAAAACCTATTTCTGTGGAGTTCCAACCTGCCTAAGTTATGTTATAGCAAACACTTAGCACATAATCTGTACACTTAKGTATCAGCTACATCTTAATCCTCCAAAGAAATGCTAGAATAGTAAGATCAATTTATTCAACTGTATGTACAATGTATTTGCATATTAATAAATAAATCAATATTAAAGTTAGGGTCTCTTCCCCCATATAAAAGTGACTACAGTCTGACCAGACAATCTTTCTTTTTTTTTTTTCTTCCAAGTTCACCTGTGTGATTGAGGCTATTGGCTTCCACTCAACATGTTACAGTAACTGCAGGAGCAGAAACCTAACAGAGCAGTGCTTACATTTAAATTCCATATAGCAGGTGGATGGGAGGGAGGTACTAAAAAGTGCATCAAAAGCAAAAATTTTGTAGAGCAAAGAAAATAATGTGTTYATAATGTGAAGTTCATAATGTGATCCTGGGGAAGAGAATCCAKCCCAAAAGAAGACATGCTGCAGCAAACTCTGTAATCGATGCATGTTTCTGTCTTCGTAGTAAGCTGCAATGATGCCAATCTTGTCCTACCACWCTTCAAGAATTCCAACTCCAATAGATGCCATCTTCCCCTCCACAAATTTATCAACACCACGGTCAGTGCAAAGTGACAATTCTTAAAATAACTGTTTGCCTTCACTCCATAACATTTGTCCTCACTGTGAAGAAAAGGCTMCTTTTCTCTTAAGTGTTTATTCCTGTACACAGAAGAGCCCATATTTGCACCTYTCCATGTCTGGTAGTGAATTTTCTATCTACATTCATTAGAAATCAAAAAGAAAAGTAGCAGTAYTTCATATTTACTGGAAGTCTTCCCATTAACCCAAAAACTAGCTGTCCATCTTGATTTACACTTAAAGTAGCTGCACTTTTTTCTTTCCAGCCCACTTTCAATGGGGTATAAGTCATGGGARCTGTGGGAATATTTCAAGTCTGATTGCTGGAGCTGGGAGAGTGAGGAGTCACATTGGAATTGAGGTGYCTGTTTGCAGCACAGTGCGTGTGGGCCATACTCCCGTTCGGGTATCTTACAAACACAGGCTCGCAGAAAGGATTTTGGCACACCTGACACACCTTTTTGTCGGAAAGAAAAATCGGGGCTCCTTTTTGTTTAACCTAAAGAGAGGGGAAAAAAAATCCAATGTGAATCTAACAAGAAAGAAAGGCAAATGATGGAGCATAATTGGAACTGCTTCAAATGGATAAAACAGAAACAATTTTAAGAATCTGCTGTGAACTCTAAGCAACGCTGCCCTATCTAGGAATAGAAGAAAGCTTCACAACTGRACTTACTATTAACAAAATCTACTACCAAGTTTCAGTTAATACTAAGTACTGGATAATTTCTTACAAATTTTGACAGGTGATGCTGTAAAAAAACTGAATTGGAAATTCTGACACTCCCTCCTAGTGAAAGAAATGCTAATTCACACTTGTTACAAGTTTCTGCAAGAACTTTGTTAATCTGAAAATCCCAGATTCACTTYAATTCAGCCAGAAGCTCACCAAGGTTTTTCCCATTTCAAGGCCCCAAGGCCCCTACTTTCTCTTTTGTATTACAGAGGAAACATACAATTAATTTTGAGTCTAGTAATCATGGCAAAAAAACCCTAATAAATGCCAAAGACATGAAGACAACTTTTGTGCTAATTCTTTAAACTTCTTTTGATTACTGTATATCAAAGGACTCAAGTTCTAAGCTTCAAAGTGCTTTTATTCAAAAACAGCCCAGCAACCTACCTTCTCGTACTTGTAGATTAAGTTTTCAGCTTGTGCTAACCCAAGTGCCACCTGAGYCATTCTTTTCGTGTGAATGCTTTGTCTCATTGCTCCAGCCAGGAAGGGAGAGAGAAGCTGCACTGACCAGCTGTCAGGCACCACCTGCAAAACCAGACCTGCATCAAATTCCGCAGCRTGGTTATTCAAGAGATCCACAGCAGCCATCATGAGTGCACAGTCYGAAGTGCCTGGAGTTAAATACACTGACAGCAGCATATGGAAAAGCCTCCGTCTGTACTGCACATCTTTGTTCTCAGAGTTCCATATACAGTATTCTTCAGCAGCATGGAAGTCCTTTAACTCATGGACRAGGATATGCAAAGCCTTCTCATGTTCTTCTAGTTTCCCATATAAAATCGCACTTTCCATATGAAGGTCTGTGCCCTGGATTTTGTCTGTTAAAYAAGAAACAAGGCAAAATTTGCTCAGTGGAATAAATAACTATAGAGAAGACAGATGCTTTTAGGTATAGCAATGTCCAGATGCTTGGAAACACATCTCTAACAAAAGAGTACCACAAAATATGGGACAAAGAAATTACTAAAAACAGGTAATAAACCGTTGTCACTGTCACCTTTTAAATTCTAGCAGACACTGCTACCATGTATRATAAACTGTAAGATGAAACTGCAATATTTTTAATCTCTGCTTCTCCCACTGTTATAGGAAGTCACAGAATAAAGTCCACAAGAGACAATAAAAATCAAATAGTACTTCCATTYAAGAAAAGGGCACTACAAACCCTCAATCCAGTTTAAAGTTTAAGTGKCAGCAATAGGCAGATAGAGTGACAAGTTCATCTGGCATGTCAAAATAAAGTAGAAAATCATCTCATTACGTATAGGTAATGAAGATTTGGCATCGGCCTATGTAAAATATATGGAAATACAATGTTTTTCTCACCAAAATATTTTTGTTGCCAGGGAGAAGCACACTAGCTTGCACTGATCTCACTTTCATGTAATRTAAGAATTGTCATGTAAGAAATCCTTTACTTTGGAGTACATGGATTTCAACAGAATAATCAATTTGGTAACTTTTCTCTGAAAACTTTGTTCGCAAACTAACAAAAAGGTGAAAAAGAACAAGAGTTTCAATGATGGTGCTATACTTGTACGTTACCCATCATATAATATTTTGCCGCTTGGAAAGGTAAGGAAACATTTAAAATTGCTAAATTTAGTTGCTACACAGCTATTTTTATTTCCACATACACTGAATTTTTTCCACTGAATTTCAAAAAATCATTTCWCATCTTTCAGTTCAATAACAAGTCAGTTTCCTTTCATCCACTATTCCATCCTTCCTTCCATTCTTCAGCCATAATCCTCYATACCAGAGAGGATTTAAACAAGTRGCTTGCTTAATTGCACTGCATGYTTGCATTCTAGTGGATGAAACATTAAAAATCAACTATCATAAGCACTGACAAAGGAAAATATTTAGCTCAGCTGTTGCTTGCCTTATACCAACAGTAACATGTATGTTGCTTTTCATTTAAAAGAATGCTCTTTTTTTTTTTTAACATGAACCCCAGACTGAGTTTCAGGATTATGGAAAACAACTTCTTGGCAATCAGATTCTTCATTGCTTCACTTCCATTTACTAGAAACAGGTTGCTTACAAAATAAACTTGTCTTTCATTTGCAAATGGTTGTCACAAGTTACATGCTCATCATTAAAAAGRAGGTGACTAAGAAAATTGTATGCAGATATTTGTGCTGGCCACTTGGTATTCTGTCTCTGCAGCAGTGGCAAACACACCCTTGGAGCTATGGAGACCAAGGACAACACCAACAGATTTGCTTTCTAAATTAACCTGTGTTAGAAAATACAACCTATCAAACAAACACACATAAATAGTCCTTGCAAGGACTATTGTTTTGTTTCCAGCTGGAAATAACACACAGCATTTATAACAGACAACATGCAACCTACCCAAAATAAAGCGAATTCTATAAAGATCAGATTTCTGAAGCAGACTGCGCAGTTTCAGCAGCAGTTCAGTTGYTTCTGTACAATTATCTGTGGTCATGGATTTCAGCTGAAGTATTGCCTCCAAGTACAAGACAGCTAGATGAGTATGGTACTTCTCTTTCTGCAGATGAATAGAACAATGTTAACTCAGTTTACAAAGACAATCTCTTCTTCCCAGCAATAACAGTGATGAGTATTTACTTAATTGCATAGAAGTATGTTTTAAMTTATTTAATTTGAAATAATCACAAAGTTTTCTTCCATGCAGATAGACAACTTAATTCAGAGCAGCCTCACAAATKACATTATGAGGAATCCCATATTTACATTCAGTTATGTCCTTCAACCTTTTCTATTTCTGCAATAAAATCTTACCAAGCCATCAGAGGTGGACAAGCACTCTGAAAGCACAGTGCTTTTTTTTGTTATCCACTATCCAATATTCATCAAAACAAGCYGATGATTTGACTGTTTTAAACAGTCTCACTAATTCATAATAATCTAAAAATTTTTAAAGACCAAATTGATTTATAACCCAGCCTTTACTAGCAGGTAGATTTAATTGTTAATTACTTTCATTACAAATATTTTAAAAGGCACCGTGTTTAAGTCAGAAAGTGTGTTTGGAAACACCTATGACACCAGACACTAGCACAATTCATCAGTCATGGTGCAAACACACCTGCAATACCAACAAGGGGGAACTGATGTGCATTTGAAGAATGTGAATTAGTGCACTGACCATCAGTTTTGCAGAGTTCTTTCACTGTTCATTTCCTGTTCATTCCAGGTTAAAGTAACTTCTCCTGTGCTTAAAATGTCTCCTATCCAAATACAACAGTTGGCTGCTTTTGTATTGAGCTAAACCCCCCCAAAGGTATAATACACTGTCACTCAGGGACCTGTGAATACATCTTCTGGGCATTAAACATCAGGACCTGTTTGGAATTCTAGTGAAGGGTGCCTGGTTTAATATGATTGTTAATTGTTCAAATCTCTCCAGAAAGACAGAATAAAACATTCTTACTAGTGAAACACTAAATTAGCAATTTTAATATATTGCTGCTAGAGTGCAATAGGAYCAGCAGTGCTGTTGATAATTTTTCTATGATCTTACCAGTAGAAGGTTTAAGCCTTATCCGTGAAATAGAAAAGTAAGCAACAACCAGATGTAAGAAACCACCCAAAGTAAGGGTGACATAAGCAACTGTCTTGCCATCACAAGTGTTAAAAAATTCAAAATCATGAAGTTGTCCACTCCTCATCTTTTGCTTTAATCTTAAAAACACTCCTACCCCACTCTGAATACATTTGAAAGACTTATTATGCCTATTTTCCAGATATTGCCTTTTYCAGGTTTGTTGATCATAATCTGCATTCTGAATACTATGCCTATTTTTAGCATTCTYACAGAACTCACCTCTATTTTTCTTTCCAGTACTAGATGTTCTAGATATCTGACACGTGCTTTAGGATATTTGTTAAGGCAACTGATGATATCATCTGGATTAATGCTGTTTTTCTCCTGTTCTTCCACAGGCCTTTTAGTGAAAATCTGTACACCAACCTAGAAAGAGTTAATYGCATTTAGGAACTCAATGGCAACCACTGTATTAAATAAATATTTAAAATGAAAAAGGAATATCACTATTGTTAATACRTTAYTCAGRAAGATAAACAGAAAACCCTRCCCAGCACCACAGGATTATACTACYCTGTGCTTATCGTGATCTCACTCACTCCTATTTAAACTACCTCAATTTGTAGTCTATATATTGTTCAGCTTATAAACCTTGGCTTGGGCACAACTCCCACAAAAAGTATTCAATGGATTTGCACAATAACAGAACAAGAGACTTCAGCCTTTGCAGCAAGAAACCTTGAATCAGAGACCAGAATGTTCTAAGCTTTTCACACAGCYTTTTCACACAGATGGAGCAAGAGACTTTTGTAATTACCAAACCAAAAGTTTAGAAATCTGCCATTACACAAAATAGCTAAGCTTAAATTAATATAAATTAGGCAGTGACAAGTTAGAACAACAAAGACTGTCTGACACAGCAGCAAACATTCAACTTAACTGCCACTGATGTCTGCCACATCCCTACTAATGGATGTTGCTTTTTTTTTAATTTCAGCAGATTAAGTTAATTCTTCTAGCAATGAAATTTTGTCTTGAATGAAGGCTATTTATCCCATGTCCTGGTGTACACAGATACCATCCATCCCCTTTAAAATAMGGAGCAGCAGCAACAGCTAACATGTCAGATGATTTATTTTAGATTTGAAAATTATTATACTTTTTGAAAATTATCTAACTCAATAKGAAGAAAACAGAAGAATTGCTGTTTTTCATGCCCTAAACTTTKTTATCAGAATAAAAAGAGGCAATTATGACTAGCACTTGCTAATAGAGGGACTTGGAAGAATTGAGAAACCTGGAAGTTTTCTTCTGCTGATCACTATTTAACTGGTATTAAATATGCTACAAAAAGTCCAATCAGCTATCAAGAAAAAACAGCAAATTGAAAACCCAAACAGCACTGCAGAGAAATACTGATGTTCTGTGAAAAATCTATTAATCACAAACCTCTTCATTTTTTTGTAAAATCCATTCAGAGTACTTCCACACTAGGTCTTGGTCTGAGCAGAATGTAAGGAAGTCTACTATGTACTCATAGAGATCTGAACGTGTAGAATCTTGAATGTCTCCATCAACTATCTTCACCCACAACTGCAAAAACATACAGATTAAATTGCTTAAAACACATCATAGGTATTCCACCTCAAAATTTATGTAASCTACTAAAAGACTTAGTACAAGACTCATGCAATTAGAAAGAGTTGACAGGAACACCAACTGCAAAGAACATCACTGGTCACTCACTTTTGCCATCACACCCTTCTCTTGCCATATTCACYCAATTCAGACCCCATACCACATGGGCTCTCATTCTGAAAATGACTAAAGRAGGTACACTAATCACAAATAAAATTTATGTTAGAAGTAATTTTCTCCAATGCATGGCATACTTTTCGTGTGTTCTACGTGTGCAAGATTAAAAGCAAATGATACAAGCAATTTAGAAGAAAAACTGGTTTTCTGCTTCTSTTTCATTTTGACTGAAGAGCTACAAATGGTACCACATGGTAATGTGGTATTATTTTTATGTACATTATAACTGGAATTAAAATATGCCACACCTAGCAGACCAGTTTAGCAATAAACCTTGTTTTTTTTCAGCATAAAGATTCTTGAAGATTTCTTGCACATGACAAATGTACATACTATTTTTGTTGCCCTTACAAAATTTCTGCTCAGGCCATTATTACTATTTATRTAACTAACTTGAATGCATCTGATGGAGTTATTGGGATTAATGTGCTCAAAAAGTCACACAATAAGGCAAAGATAATGGATATGGTCTGAGACACACRTTATGTACTCATCAAGAACACTTTAATTTCTCTAGATGAAGTTTTKCAGACAGGAACAACAGAATCATTCAGTCTGCAGTGGACAGCCCACTGCTAGTATTAGTGACATCAGATGGAAGGTGCCCAAAGGGATTGCTAACCCAGCTGAAACACACAGGTCTTGCAGAATGTGTTCACTCTTCATCACCAGATAAGGAAATAAATTCTCTGTTGCTATCAGTGTCTGCCATGAGATTGCAATGCTGTTTTGCTGTGTGCAAACTGATAAATCAGCMGAGTGCATACTTCCAGAGTCCCATAAATACCTTTTAAAGTGTTTGCTTGATTATTTTAGCACTTCTGTCCATCTTTAGGAGTACACACATATGTTCTGGTATGTATAGTTTTGCTTTTAAAAAATAGCATACAAGCATGTAAATAGCTGTCAACTTCAGTTAGCTCTTCAGACTTTCCACATCTAGTATATTGATTTATYCAAGGAAGTCTTAGTATAAGTTTCAAGTTTCTCACATACACACATATACATATATATACACACACACATACACATGGCAGCTTTTCAAACAGATAAATTAAGTTTTATCGAATTGTTAAAACACTTTGGAATGGTTTACAGATTACACTATAAGTTTTATTCTAACCTGAAGTGCTGCAGCATCCTGACCATTGTAGTGATACAGGAGACCAAGTGCAAAATACCTGTAAAGAAAGAGAAAATAATATTAAAATTGCTAGAACTTTCCCACTGATTGAATTATAGACTGATTAGCACAGAGGACAACAAAAAATGGCTTACAATGACATATACATGGCCATGCTTACATTGAACAAGTCTCTGTAGGCTGTTTTCATGAATCAAAGGAGAGAAGTTCTGCCCTAAAAGTGTGTCTCTGTCACTCCTGTCCCCAAGASAGCTTCCGCTCACTAGATCCAACTTACACAAAGTATGTGCCCAATTAGAGATGTTTCCCACACTGTTCTGTCAATTTTATGTACAGACTTAATGCACACCTCCCAGTACTATACCTCCAATAGTTCATCAGCTGTCATTAAACAGAATTTTATTAGGTGTTTATTTAAAATTCTGTTTTACTATCAGAAACATTTTTCTTTACTGTGGCATGGAGTTAAGTCAGGCAAAGAAGAGCTTTGTACAGTGCCATTACAGAGTGGGTTTTGTGTACTCTAAGAAAAATATAGCCAAGCTCTGTAATGGCTGTCCTCATGGAACACTGTCCTAACATTCATTCAATTCACATATGAACAAATTTGTCAACCAAACCACACTTTCCAAAAGGTTTTAACAAAACACCTGAAATAACCGAAATTACCCTAAATATAACTAAAAATAACCCTTAAATACAATGAAAGRCTCTGCCTCACCACTGCAGTTGCTACAACTACACTACATAGTTGAAAGCTAGAAATGAAAACCAGGACAGACACATTACCTATCTACAAACACACCACACTACTACAYACACACATTGGCCTACCTGGAGTTTGTATTTCACACATTTACTATCTAATGTTTCCTCCTTAATGAGAGACAATTTTCTGCCTGCTGGCATTTCTCATTTGAAGTCATTTGCAGTCACCTTAAGGAACCTCCTTTTGGTCAATCAGTGGAACACAGAGTTTGCAATTTAGAAGTAAGAGCTCCATCCCTGAATAAACAACTACCATTTAAAAGCCACTAACTGATTAATACCTTCTCCTAACGTAGTGTATGTTTTAAGGCATCTTTTCATTTTGTCTGTGTACAACTACTGCAGCTATTCTACTCYCCCCTTTATCACAAGGGCAAACAATTCACTTTTTTATCCTCAACTTGTACCAATTCTTTATTATTGTGTTGGATACAGAAACTTTAATGGAGAACTCTGCATCTACCAGGATAAGACAAAATCCATTTCCTTTACCTCAGACTGTCAGTTAGACTCACTGTCTCAGACTTCTTTTCACCAATATTTTTAGATGCTAACAATGTTAATTCAGACTGAGTTGTCTTTTGGACAAGTATAAGCACAGACACTACAAGTACTTGAACACATTGTTCTTGAAGCCAAGAGCAACTAAGACAATTTTCTTTCTTGTCTCCAAGGTGCAATAACGAAAAAAATCCACTCACTTTTTGTGTTTTTCCAGCCARGCAGCACTATCCGTTAAAAGACAGAAGTTCTCAGAAACCAGGAGATCCAGCAGGCTTTCATGATTTGCCTCTGCATACAGCTTGAGTAACGCTGTGTCGATATCCTCCTTGTAGCCATTTGCAACCTCAGTGCTGCGRACTTCATTCAAATAACTCATGAGGAATCGTTTGCATTTTGTCATCTTCTCCTGGTCCCCTTGGGTCAGCTGGTTCAGGTCCGCGTACTCGTGCAGAGGGGGATGAGACCGGATAAATGAAGAGGAAGTAGGCAACAGGAAGGGGTAGAGAGAGATCAGCTCCCGGACATCAAGCTGGCCGCTTCTGCAATTACAGTGTCAAACTAGATGAAGCAAAAAGAAAGAAAAAGTATACATAGGCACAAAAAAAAAGTGTGCTCACATATGCTTAGAGTTAGGACACTAACACAGTCAGTTTCTGAATTTCTTTTTGCTATTTCTTTGTTTATTTATCATTCTTTTTCCTCCTCTAGACATTGAAAGCTCTCAGAATTTGGAGACTGGTCAGCCTTTTGCTTTTGACCTTCCACAGTTGTTCTCTGGCATATACAAAAATCAGCTGAACAGCCCTACAGCAGTCCTACGACTTCAACCATGCATTATGTGAGTTAGTCTTCTGATGGCAGAAAAAAAAAAAAAAAAGAGAAAGTGTATCTTTCAGGCAAGCCACAAAAGACTGTGTCAGTGTAATTCTGGTAGAAAACGGCAACTTCCTATACAAAACTTAAGTCTTCAGACCATATGTTTGGATGATGAAAACATTCTCCCCAGCCCTGAAATGCACCAGATTTCGCATTTGGCTCTCTTCTTACAGAGGTTCTGTAGCAAACCACAGATAGTGTTTAAATGGATGCATAAACAGTAAGTCTGTTTTACAGGCAGAGGCCTTGAGTGTACAACTATGGAGGCTCCTCGGGAGTGGCTTTTCCACTTCAGGTGTGAAGGACACCCTGTACATTTATTTAGCAGCAAGTTGTAATATAGATAAGCCACAAAAAAAAAAAAGTTAACCGTATTTGAAGAAAGACTTTTTTTCCCTCCAAAGTTCTTCCCTGATTCCTTTTAGAACAAAAGCTAACTCACAACTTGAATAATATCCACAGGCTACTCAAAATTTGTGCAGAAACAAAGCGTCTTAATAAATCTGGAAAAAWTCAAGTATAAACATTGGTTCCCTTGCTAGTTATGCTGTCAAGTATTTGGAGATGGCCTAAGTTTGACTTGGAGACTATGACTGTTGAGATGGATGAAGTTAAAAAATGCCATATTTAATATGYCACTTTTAATAAGTTTAGTAAGTTTTAGAACAACTTCTACAGTAGGTTCTGTGTCCTTTCCTTACCATCCAAGTTTTTCTAGATGATGTAGTAGTCAGCTACTTTACCTCTGACTTCACAGATTCTGGCCTGAATGATGATCTGTTTCCAAATGGAAAACCAGCTTTCAATCTGGGCTAGCCCAAAGCCTGGGCTGTGAATCACCTTGGTTCTCCCAGCAGGTCTGACTCAAGCTCAGTTTTTTACAGTTTGCTCTCCTCACAGCAGTGGTAAGTAGCAACCTAGCAGCCTCCTTAAAAGCACCACATGATCCACAAGCTTCTTCYGAAAAACACCAAATACTAAACAATGACCCCACCTGCACAAATGCCTAATATTCTGCTCAAGGTTTATGGCTCCTGGGATTTGTGGATGTCTTGTGGATTTTTCCATCACATCCAGACAAACCCATTTTAGAACCGCTATGAAGGACCTCATCTCTTTCGGAAAACATGTCTGAGCCTTCAGCTTCTAGGAACTCAGGCTCACCAACATGCAGACAGGAATTTATGACACAGTAGAAAACAAACTCTTAAGTTGAGACATCAGTGTTGTGAAGCAACTTCCCTTCAACCACTTCTGCATTAGTTCTCTTTGGGCTTCATATATACAAACAATGCAACAGGCAGAATCTACAAGTTTTCAGGAAACTTAGGTCTAAATTCAGACCCTCGTGTCTACAGATGTCAGAGATGCCAAAGAAGCCTACAGTGCTGTTTTGCCTAAATTACCACTAGTTGTATTGGAAGCTTATAGTCTTGAATCACATTTAAAATGCAAATCCCACATCATTCCTACTTCTTATTTCTCCAGGTTTAAGTACCAGCAACTTTTTTAACCTTTTCAGTGGAGGAGAGACTTACATTTTAAGTCTCCCTACAGGTTTTCCCAGGTGAGAAATACTGTGTAAAGAGTTAATATTTTTATTTGTTAAAAAGAGCAAAGTCTAGAGAAGTTCCAGTATCTGGGGTGAAGGGAAGCAATATCTAACTAGTAAACACCAAAGATAACTGGTTTCACTGTGACATCCGCCAAACATTCCAGTAAGGCACCTAGAATTCAGCAAATGACCTCCTAAAAAGCACTGTTTGCTATAACTCTAATGATAGGAACGTGAAATAGTGTAAGTATAAATCACAACTATATAACATGATTAAAATTCTGTTATAATGGTTTGTCAGACCAAAGAAGCCCTACTGCTGCTTCTCACTCAGTTTTAAGGTTAATGGATCTAGATGAGGAAAATTATCCTCCTTTYGTTGAACTATTTGAGTTTCAATAAAGCTACCCCTTTCTTCCWTTTTCTCAACCTTCTTCAGTATTCAGAAGCATGAGCATTAACCACAAGGAATTTGGCAAATTATTCTTCTTGAAAGTTCCAGTCTTTTTAAGAACTATGAATTTAAGCATAAGATGTAACAGTTTCTTGCCAAGGCTATCCAAGAAGAGTAATAATGCAAGAAAATGAAGACCTTTAGTCCAATGTAATTCCCCTGCTAACTTGTAATTGTCAGATGTTTTTCAAATAGTGAGACAATCTCACTTCATATTTAGCCAAAAGCGGTCCATGTACCACACCAAGATCTCTGAGGTACTGCTGCTACCCTGTTTCGCTGCTTCAATCTGTCTTTTCCCAGCTAGGTACCAAATTTCCCTTTGACATTAAGACTGAAGTCATGTCTAAGACAAGGCTGAAACATCTGCAGAGCAATACACTGGGATGAGAGGAAGTGATTTCATAGACTGCCACTATCTTTCCCATTTTTCCTCTGATCAYCAGTTAGTTTAAAATGAACAAGACTGATTGAGACTGTGTCAGGACACACACAGATATTACTCTAACTGGGTGTGCTGAAAATCACAGGACTGACAATCTGGCTGAAAACAACAGGGCTGAAAATCAAGGAACCTGAATTCTATAACAAGTTTTTTCAGAGTCACCAAAGTACTCTACTTAGTTTATGTATGGCTGGACAGAAGAAAAGCACAGAAACTTATTCTGGCTTTCTTCCCTGAGCAGACATCAGCAATTTGTGAACTGTTGTTCTGCTTTGGAGTTGCAGCTTTTAGAGGAAGTGAACATCCTGGGATGCTGACTCAGTTACAAAACTTGTGGCTGGACAGCACATTTTCTCATGAAGCATGTTTGTTTCTACAGAGGAGTTCCCACAATCCTATTCATTAAAGCTAATTTGTAAGAGGGACTGGCAGTTGGATGGAGGACGCATAGATATTGGCTCCTTCTACAAGGTGGCGCAACACCCCACAGGATACCTTTCCCTCTTTTTACTGCTTTTAAAATACAGTTAACTATGTATAGCTTGCACTCCTACTTCAGATACACAAGTGTCTGAAAGATTATAAGGGTGAAGAAAGACTGCAAGCTGCTCACTAATGACAAAAATTACTAGGTGACAGAGGAAGTGATTGTGGCCAGAACAAATTCTCACTAAATGCTTTACAGGCCTTTCCTGTCATTCCCTTATGTTCATTCAGTGCACACTGCTTATCCAAGCCCAGTGTCTCCCATTATACTGGCGAGCAGAAGAGAAAATGGCAAAATCCCTCACCAGTAGCAACATTCCTCAAAAGCTTTCTTTCCTCAATGCATTTCCATTAACCAAGGACAAYTTTTCTCCTACACTGCAAATATGCTTATGATATACTGAAAATTGTCTAACCTTAATCCTATTCCATAGACTCTAAACTGATTTAAAGTGAATTTCAGCAGGTAACAAGGAGAGTTATTTTATGTGGTCAGCATGCATTCCACTAACTACAGGGAGTGCTGCATCACAGAATGAGGCATGGCTAGCAGAAATGAAATTATCAGGTAGAATAAAGATAACAAGCAGCATTTTTTGAATGAAAGTGGAATATCAAGGTCAATTTGTAAACAWGTGACTGCTGAAATGGCTAAATCGACAAGGTTAGTACAGACTTCAAGAACAAATCTGTCTTCTACAAAAGGTTTAGCAGAACAAGTGTTAAAGCAAATTCAGTATCAGCATTCTCATAAAAAATAGTGTGATTTTGTTAATATTTAAGTTGTAACAAATAGTTAAATCATACCTTTTCTTAAAAGTATTAAAAAAGAAAAGAATAGAGCAATGTTCACGCTGTAAATCACAGCACAGACTCAACAATAAAGCCTTCACCTTCATGGGCATAARGTAAAAAAACCTCCATACATATAACTCAAATTCTTAATGCTACTCTATGCTAGCATCCAAAAGAAACCCAACCAGTTGCATTAACTCTTCAGTGATAAAGTTGCTTCAATGTTACTCTGTTCTTAACCCCAACAAAACCATTTTATTACAGTGAACCCACATCTACATCAAAAAACATTAAAACAACTAAGTTTTTCAAACCAAGAACACTACCTCCTTATTTAAAGAAAGTAAATGATTAAATTTCTTGTCACACAATTACCTGAAGAGTTCTTTTGCTTCAAGGAACTGAAGCTGTGCAAACTGTATAAAACCTGCTTGCTGCAGGATTCGTTTGTACATTACCTACAAAAAAGAAGGGGGGGAAAGGGTTTATTATATTTGTATTTATGTAGTGCCAGTTACTACACCAATAGCTATCAGCCAAAAAGCACAGAACATGATCTTCAACCACACCTGTCAAGTCACAGGCAAAATAAAACTCGATCCTCTACATTTTAAATTATGCACCTGAATATATTGAATCTGCTGCCCAAACTCAGTTTCTTACACAAAYGTGTGAACACAACACTTCTCACAAGTGCTCACTAAAAGCAAAGTCAACAAACAGCAAGTTTAAGTTTTCTTTTTCAAATAATGACTCATCTGACATCACACTGACTTGCCTAAAATTTTTTGAATTATTTGCAAACATAAAAGCCAATGTTTATCTTTGAAGCTYCCCATGATTCATTCAATGTACCATAGAAATATGGTTAAAAACCAAGTAAACCATATGGAAAGCTATTTGTTATCAAGCTTTACCGTTACGGTCACACCTAGACAGAAAATATTTCAAAGAAACTCACTAGAAAGAGAACACAAAAACTACTTTAAATGATAGGTAGTTATTAAATCTGAATGGTCAACCAACTACCAATTACAAGATTAAATTAAATCCTTGTGCTTAGAATATTTCCAACAGCAAAAGGGAAGTACTAAAAKCAAGCAACCTAAACTCTGCTCTGCAGAGCATTCCCATTTGAGACAACACTGTGCTTTGGCAAATACAGCCAGCTACCTTCACATGTCCTCAGTTTTTTCCTTCAACTTGCTCAAGTGTGCACAGCTTTCTAAAGTTTCACACTGTACATGAAGGCTATTACTAATAGCACACTTAAAAAAGTATTTCTATGAAAATACCCAGAGAAACTACAATACAATAGGAWCATCTTCCTGACAGGAAGTGCTAAGAACAGCAGGCCTCAAAGTACAGTGGACTGATATAACTGATGATTTCTGATTAAAGGTCATGGATTTACCAACAGAAAAGCTTGGTTTCAGTACATTTAGTCTGTGCATGCTTTACAAATGGTTTGTCTTAAGGAAATCCATAATCTCTGTTGGTAGCAAGTCACTAAAATGATTTGTAAAGTAATGTGACTTTTCTTGCTTCCCCAGGGCACAGAAGAAGAGGGAAAACAGAAAGAAATGTTATCAGGCACACTTTTTCAGAYAAATATAACAATATAAAATTAAATGAACAATACTACATGACATCTTTATATTAACTAGTGCTTTACATTCAAGTGTAATAATTAAAAATACAGTTAAATAAAAGAAAATTATAGTCACAAAGTAAAACTTCTTTAGGTGATTAACTCACAAAATAGCCAAAATATTTTGGATTTCTGACAATGGTATTACATCAATGCACAGTAATCTGATGAATACTCACCTGGTCACATTCCTAAGGACACTGTTGAAGGATTTCAATCTGCAAATATTTGCATCTTGTGGCAGAATAATAACTTTAAAATCCAGCCTAACTTTCCAGGGAAAGTCTTCTCACCCTGCTCACTAGTATTAAAAGTATCTAGGCTAGGGCTTCCCCCCCACCAGCCTGTTTTCAATTTTTGCAATGGAATGATCACTAAAATTTACTTATTTAGTCAATTATGATATTCTAATAAAGTTTGAATTAATGTAAGACATTGAAAGCACTGCTGTAATTACAGAGTGTAGTCTGTACAGCATCTTTTTAACAAAAAGTTGAAAAGAACTCATTGATAGTGTAACTATAGCCTGAAAGAATCAGTTTTAAATTTGATCTAATAAAGTGGTATTCACTTTCATTTAAATGCTGACATATCTTCAATTCTCCCTTAAAGACRTGCAACAAAAAGTTGTAGAATACCTACTGACAGACACTATTCGAACTTTTTAAAGATGCAATGAAGAGAGAGGCATCTCCAGATAAATTTTTAGTTGACAAGATACTAAGATGTCCCAGTGTAAAGATTATGGAAGGAAACAGAGCAGACTGTGGAAAATCCAATATTTCTTTTCTCACAGATTTTTGAGAGTGGGCTAGACCTATATGTCAAACACACACAGGTAACTTCTGTTTAGAGAAGTTTACCTTCAGTTCTTCCAGATCTGTTTGTCAGAATACTGCAACAGGCTTCTTAAAAAGGTATTAAGCTACACCCAGTTGAAATTCAACACATGGTTTAGTCCTGGTTTAGTCCTTTGTAATTTCTGAAGAGTCACCATAGGACTTGCAATTCTTTAAGGGAATTCTGCACTGTTGACTGAATTCAAATAAAAAAAACATTAGCTACAAAAACGTGATTTTTTTTTTTAATACAAAATTAATTTGTATTAATTCACATCTGAAAAAGCAATAGCAGACAGAAAGATGACTGCTGAAACTATGGTTGCTGTAGTGAAGCTTTAATTCTCTCAGCTGCTAAAAAAACTACATGGTCCTAAAGAATTTTTCTAGAAAGCCACTTTCTCTTTTGGTCAGATTTGGATGCAGTTAATATGTTTGAAACAAAAAAAAAAATTAGGAAGGGAAAAAAAAAAGAAAAAAAAAAAAGAGAGATACCTATGAAAGATGTGTGTCAATCTAACCAAGGTCTTCACTACCATCAACCATGATTTCTGCAAACGTCAGCTGTCCTGAAAAATTAATAAGTAGTATTCAGTCATTTCATGGTAGCATGGTAGAAAGGCCTTTGTATTCTTCTATCAAAAATGACATCCAGCAAAGCCATCTCCTTGGAACACTGTTGCTTAGCATTTTTTACCTAGCAGGAATTCCTGATGCTCAAAAACAAAGAMATTTTCCTCTGGTATGGCAGAGCTAAATTTGCAGTCTGCAGGGACCACAGGTTAAACAATAGGTTAGAGCTACCAAGGCATGACCTGCTATTTTCCAATAACTAAATATTGACTGTAGAAATAATTCTAAGAGTACACTACTTCATTGTTGCTATTCCACCATGATTCTGCATTACCACAATATATGTATATATTTAYGCTGATATACAGAAGGTGTACACGTGCAATGACAAGTATTGAACTGCGGGSACAAAAAAACCCCATGTCCTCAAGATCTACCCTACAGTGCCCTGACTGAGTTCAAGTCACACATGAGATGGCATCAGTCATTGCAAACTGTAAAACTAAAGCATCATGTGACAAAGGGGACACTATACTTCATGAACCAGGCAATAATAATCACTATTATGTACGGATAAATTATAGTGGCTGGATGAAGTGCCTAACTGCCAACTGTATGCACTCCTTCCTACTGCTTGCACCAAATGGCAAAATAAGGCCTTAAAAATGTCAGCTGCTCAGGATTCAGTAATACTTGCAAAATAGGTACATGAAGATATCTATCAGAAGATACCTATTATCTAATAGGTATCTATTATCTGAGGATAACCGTCAGAAAGAAGTTAGAAATGAGTGACTGTGTGATCAGGTAAAGTATAGCAAAGGAATGTTGCAAAAAACACATCTAAGGCTTTTAATTTCATTGAGGTCCATCAGATTTATGCTACACAAGACTACAGTAAAAGAAAGTCTGAGGTGCCTGCAATAAACCTGTAATGACAACACCAGGTATCAGAATTACTTTAGAAAGCAAACTCAACATGTTACATTTCCAGCTACAGATAAGCTCTGAAAAACTGGACTAACGTCTCAACAACTAAGACAAGTTGAGTCATTTTAATAGGAGTCAGTGGGAGACTCCATCAATTCAAATTGGTTAATATCAGTTTGCAAATATGCTCCAGAAAGAGAACATGCTATTTGGCTTGCAAGTACTATGTTTTCCGGTTTTCAGCTGTAGCATTGACTTAAAGTAACTGAACACCCTTAAAAGCACACTTAATTAGAAAGAACTTGCAATATTCTAGGAAACTAATTTCAGGAAGATCAACACTGTGCACTTAAGATATTTGTGGAAAGAAAGTAACTTAAAGACTGAAAAATTCTAAATGCATGAAAACTGAAGAGGAATGAGATTCYACATCATGTATTTTAGATAATGAATTGTAGTTCATGCTGTGGCAAAACAGAGAGAGTCATCTCCCCACTAAATCTACATAAACTGGAAAGAAGTAATTGGAAAATTATAGGTCATCACACATAGAAGACATTGATTAGATCATGCATCCTGCCATCACAGCAAGATTTTTGTTTGCTTCTTCAAACAGATTGGAAGGGAAAATTTGATAGTGAAGATGCAAAGCAAAACATACTGGAAACAGAACTCTGTATTTGCCTTTTCAGCTTCAAGTGCTTTCAGGTAGTCGGACCTTCATAGAAGGATGGGAACACTTTTTGCAACAAGCTATTTAGATCCATCAGTCTCCCAGCTGTTCGTTCAACAGAGGAGTTAAGGATCAAAATGAAAGCTGATGCAAGTTTCAATTAATTTAATGATTGCCATTCAAGAGCCTTGACCGAAATTGAAATGAAAAGGAATTAGAAGCTTCTTGAAATTTTTGAAAACAAAATCTCCTGATAGTCTGAATTATTTTGAACCATTGCAATCCCATATTTTCCACAGTTGGTTCCAAACTTTACACCTATCTAAACAAACCAGAAGTAACACAACTGTTTTAATGGCAACAAAATGTACCAAAGTATGTTWAAAAAATGAAAAACATAGATTTTCTGCAGGTTACAGATCAATTTTCCTTTTACAATAGGAAAGAAACAAAGTCAAATATTCATTTACCAACTCGATGAGCAAAGATGCCATGCTGCTTTTTCTAATTCTCTAAATGAGAACAAATACAGTAGAATATGTATTGCAATATAAATAAGAGGTAGAAGGGAGTGAGTACAAATCTCTAATCAACACTGTAATCAAAGAGTTGTAACACACTTCACCACACAAAAACCTTTAAATTGGAGTTCCACAGCAGTACAAGTGCTACTTGTAAGAGCTTGGAAGTAGGATGTATTTGCTTAAGATTTCCCATCACTTAACTTCGAAGTTRTATTACTGTGTAGTTAAGGATACAGTGAGAATCTTCGATTAAAAAAAAAGTGAAATGTCAAAATTCTAATTTGAAATAAAGTATACATTTTTGAACAGCAATAGCAAATAATAACTAAATCTAGTAATAAGGAAGCATCCCATTGGATTTTCTGTCACTAGGTTTTTGGTTTTGTTTTCAATTCTCTCAAGTTACACACTTGAAAAAATTCATCAAGACCCCAGAAGACCAACACCATTCAACCCTGCCCATGTCACTGCCTCTACAAATATAAACCAATTTATCAGAGTATCTATTTCCTCAGGCTGACATCATAAAAATMAAAAAATACATATCTTCAATGTAAATTCCTTCCCCACCCTCTCCAATCACTTGACCAATGGAATACATGACCCTACCATGAAATTTACTTTTTCATGAAAATTTTAGGAAGGACAGACCTGAAATTTCTCTTTTGGAATATTCCTTCGAGCTCCTTTTGCTAGAACAAGGGCTTCTTCCACTCTGTGGCTAGCTAGAAGATCCTGAATCTGTTTTTCCAAAGGTAGTGGCACCAAGATATACACACCCTTGTTAGTAGCAACAATCACCTTTCCTRGACAAAACAAACAGATATATTCAATTTACAGCCTCTACAGAAAAAAAAAAAAAAGCGATTTCAGAAATAAGTTTTAAGATACACAGTTTAAGATACAGGAACCTAAATAGTGTTAAAGTCTCAAAACTGACCCTTGCTGCTACCACATTTACTAGACAGTACAGTTCACCTGTAAATTCCACCTCAAAAATACAGTGATAATGGTAAATTTATTTAGTTACAGCAGATTTTGGTTCACTCTAAGTAAGAGAAAATGGCTATAACCACTCATGATGAACTAATCTGGTAAGGCCATTGAAATTATTGCCAAGATTCCAGAGAGTAAGAACTTTKAACTAATTGATATTTCCCCAGGCTTGCATTTGAAAATTGTAAGCTGTACATCAAATCTAGCAAGTAACATACAGTTCACAGAGTTACAGTTCATAGCTTTTCTCAAGAAAAAAAAAAAAAAGTAGCATAGTACATTCCACACTTTACAGTTCTCAATTGAGGTACAGACCAGTAGATATTTTTGTGGGTTTTTTAACAATTACATGTAAAAGATCAAATTTTAAAACTCTTGCACAGATACTTTAAAAATTATTATTCTTTTGTATTCCTTTTCAATATTTTGAATTTTGTCAGAAGAGTCAATGGACAAATATGTGTAGGTCACAATTATTGAGTTGTAGCATTAAGTCAACATTGCTCCTTTGAAAGAAATAAGTTACAAGAAAACTCTCCAACTCCACAGACTCCTACCCAATAATTAGCTTGAAAATTAGAACACATGTAATAAGCATACATTTTGTTAGAAGTGTGGAATTTTGTACTACTGAAATCTTCAAGGAATCTAACCAGGAAAGCAATTGCAATAAAAGTATCAACAGTCAACACGCTTGTTAGATACTTTGTTTAAAAAACAAACCCAAGTGACTGCAGAGGCTGTTCCAGAATTACTGATGTGACAAAGTGTCCTTTTTAATACCTTCAAAATCCTGTAGAATRTGACCTTCTTTAAAAGGCAGGGTTTGCTTTTGCTGCTGGTCCAGCATGCTGTGCACCGTAATGAACTCCTCATCGAGAGCAACCACGTAAGGAAAGCACAAAGCTGCCCCAATCACATTCTCTGACCAGTGCACTGGGGCKCGCTGTGAAATCCCATCTACAGTAGCAAACATGCCTACAAAAAGGGGAAAAAAAAACCTGAGGCTCATGCTAGTTGAAGACTCTTGTTTTCCCAACACAAAGCATGGGTACCAAGGTACAGCACTGGAAAGTCTCAGAGCAGATGCAGTATCAGGCAGCATAATGACAACACATCAACCTCCCTGGACCTGACAGATACATTGTAATTCAGCTAATTCAGTTCAATTTTTTTTTTTCTTTCTCCTTCAGCATAAGGACAATAACAAAACCTGAGCAGAGATAAATACTGAAACAAACTAGCAAGAATTATTCAAGTTTAGTAAGTTTAATGTTGCAGGAATTATGCCATGTAATCTGAATACATTTCAGAACAGCAAAACGTATTGAGACACAGATTTCAAACAATCTTGCMTTAGTAGGAGCTGCAGACCTGTACCACCTGACCTATCTGGCAATGCAAATGTGTTTGTTCTTGTAGTGTCAAATGTCCAAAGAACATTTTAGTGGACACAATAGCTTACTGATACTTCTTCACTTCTGCTACAGCCAACATTTTCAGAGAACAAGGGCCCAGCTCCTTGGGATGAGTCACTTCCTGCGAAGCATCTGTGTTTTCAATCATTTGAAAAAAAAGCAGAGGCTGTGTATAAAGCAGCACAGAGTAAAGACTTTATTATCCCAGTGATAACGCCTATGCTGTCTTCAAAATAACCAGATTAAAACTTCAGTGAATTTGCAAGGAGGGTCTTTTTTTGTCAGTACCTTTCCTCAYGTCTATTCTGTCCTCCACCCTTCTCCTACCTTAATGGACTTTGAAATTGCTTTTGGACCACGTGCCACTGGTTCTGTTCATGCTATTTGGTATTTCCCAATCCTGAGACATTAACTGAAGAAAAAATTTCAGGCAGAATTTTCAGGCCTAGTTCAGTAACCATTTACCAGTTGAGAAATTACCAGTGGAAACTTCTGTTCTAAATATGAATTCATACCCCTTAAAACAAGTATTCTCATGCCATGAAAAAAGACATGACCACAAAAACTGATCTTTGGCAGCAGTGAGCCACTTGACAGCTGGCAGAATAAGTCTGAGCTCTAAAGAACTGAAGAGATTAAAAGATTATGTTATTCAATTTACAAAATCTCTTCCAAACAGAGGATAATGAGGCAAGGCGAGCTGGGTACAAGGACCATCTTGGAATGAAATAAAAAAAAAAAAAAAGGGAAAGCAGAGAAAACAAAACAGAAGGTTGTAGACTTTTACAGAACTACAATGTGGAGACTAAGCTTCTGGATCCCACACAGCAGCTTTCAACGATCAGCCCTTTCCCCTTGACTAAGGATTCTTTTTCACTACAATGATCAGCTTTTCAACCAGACTACCTTACAGAACATACTTCCTGGGTGATAATACATAATGACCCTAAAATTTCTCTTTAGAAATTTCTCTTTTGAAAATACTTTCTGGGTCATAACAAATAATTCCTAATTTGTTCTATAGATCTTGATATTCTTRAGGCTCAGAAGTAAAATTTTATGTCAGGCAAAATGTACTGTCCACTTTTAAAGGCTTTCAGTTGTTACTCTGTGCTATAATCCCATTTCAATATATGGCAGAAAACCTGAACTAATTCTTAAGCTTTTCTATTTCTATGAAAACCTGAACTAATTCTTAAGCTTTTCTATTTCTATGATGTTCTAATAGAAATAATTATAACTTTTTCTTTTAAATGAAAGAGCTCTTTTTTAGGTAATTTTAAACATCATTTTTTAAGTGAAAAGGGTGAAGTGAAAGGGTGTGCATTTAAATCAGTATCCTTCTGCATCCCTCTGCCCTCAGTAGCTAGGGCTTCTGTGGCAGAATGATGCATTTTCTATCTTCATMCAGCTCTCACCTAAGGATAACAATAAAAATCACTACAGCCAGAAACCACAGCCTTTTTATAGTACAGGAATGCATCTGACGAAACTTGAGATGAGGCTGACAATCAATTCTGTATTAAAAATTGCATACCCTACCCAAGGTTTAGAAGAATTACTTAAACAAAGCTACACTGTTTTCAGCATCAAGAGATACAGAAATGTTCTGCTGCATCTGCAGACTTGTTGAACATGCGCTCTTCCCTACCATCCATGTTGTTAAAATTATGTTAGTATTGACCTCACATTGGCCCCCTGGGGTACAAGACTAATGACTGTCCTACAGCTGCACTCTGTCCTGCTGACTAAAAATCTTCCAGGCAAGCTTTCAATCTACCTCAACTGTTTCTCCAGCTCATTCTTCATCTGTTTGTCTGCARAAGATGTCATGGGAGAGAGCATCAAAGCCTTGCTGAACTTCACAGGAACACTGCTCTCCCTTCATTCACCTAACCAGCATGTAATCAAGAGAAGACAATCTGGTCAGGCACTTTCCCCTTTTTAAAAGCATATGGATTACTTAAAATCACATCCTTGCCCTTAGTATATCTGGAAATAGCTTTCAGGATTTTCTCAGATCACCTTCCCAAGGATCAGGGTATGGCTGGCTGCACTTCCCTGGTCCCTTTCTCTTGATCACCTAAGGCAGGAGTGAAAACATTTGTTTTCTTCCAGTCCAGAGGAACATCCTCTGATCAGCATAACCTTTCAAAAATAATAAAGATTTGCCTCATAATGACTTTGACTATCACCCTCAAGCATTCATGGGAACATCCCATAAGGTCCCATGGATCTGTCTGTCCAATTTATATAAATCTTTCTCTGCTGAAGGCAGGCTTTTGTGGTTCCAGATTTTCCCACTGTTCCTAWGGGCTGATGATTCCTGAAACAAGGTCAAACCAGTAGACTGACATAAAGAAGGCATTAAGCACCTCAGCTTTTTCCACACCCTTTAGCATCAGATCTTTTGCCCCMTTTACCAGTGGGCATACATTAGCCTTCCTGTGCTGATGATATGCTTGTAGCTCTTCTTGTTGCCTTTCATGGTATTTAGAGTCAATGCCAGATGGACATTGGCCTCTGCCCTGGTTTTGGATAGAGTTAATTTTCTTCTTAGCAGCTGGTGTTTTGGATTCTGTATGATAAGATGCTGGTAAGATGTTCAACAGAGCAAACCCCTTTATTAGCTCCTCAATGCACACCAGAAAACTCCTGGTTGCCATCAATGCACACCAGAAAACTCCTGGACTGCTTGTCTCCTGCCGTGCTGCCCTCTTAGCATGTACTGGGGTGGTTCAAGCGCACCCTAAAAACCAGGGCCTGCAAATATAGATTTCTTCCTGTTACCTAAAGAAGGTTTCACCTAAGTCTTCTTCCTGATGAAGTGGTCTGTACCAGGCACTTACCACAATGTCACTCATGTTAGTTTGCTCTCTAACCCAAATCCACAAATGCTCATCCACCTCCTCCTTTGTTCCAAGACACCCTATCACATCTTCCTACTGCTCCCATGKAAAGGGTAACCCCCATCTCAGCTGTTAACACATAGCTGTGCTGATTTCCCAGAAAAAGTGAGAATGCTTTTACTACCATGATGTTTTGTAAAGACTTCTTTCTCTGCATATGCCTGAAGCAGAACTTCTTCAGCTCTGTTTGCTGCTTATAAAGTCTCTTATCACACCATCTTGCACCAATTTGTTTGCCAACACAGCCTACCACCACCACGCCTAATCTAAATCCAACTCACCATTTGCTCACTCAAGTTGGCAAAAATGCTTTTGCCTCACTTGACCTAGCAGATCCCTTCTCTTCCTTAAATAGGGATCCACAGTCTTAAAAGACAAAACCCGTCACCACAAGTATGCAATCGGTTGGTGATCTGCACAATCCATGTACTCCTCCTCAAGATGTTCTTCCTTAACAGCAGGATTGATGAGAAAACCCCCATCCCCTACATGGGGGAGTCTCCTACTACTCTTACTTGCTAATTCCTCTGGTGCTACTGCATTGTACAGGCTCAGATGATTTGTTGGGCAGAACTTCCTGCTTTTCATCTGCTACTGTAAGCACTGAACATATTCTATAGATACAGATCTGCAACCAGAAAGGGAGAATTCTTCCTATTATGAGAAGAGACTCAGCCCATTCTTCCCCTCCATACTGCTGGAGGTTCAAGGCTCATGCCTGGATCCTGGAAAAAATTCAATGTCCTTTCTGCCATCTCTGGTGCCATGAACTCTGCTGACCTCCTACTGCATCTCGTTTGCTTGGCAACCAAAATCCTCAACCAAGCACACATCTCTCATGGACAAGGACATTTTTCCTTGGTCCAGTCTCAGCAAGAGGCAGAAGACACTCTGTTCAGCTCAAGGTGTGAGGAGCTGCACCTTCTGTTGGGAGCTCAGCCTGAGTCGACACGTCATATGTTTTGGGGCAATTGCTCCAGCTGGTGTTAGGAGGCAAATCCTTTGCCAATATGAAGAAGTGTCTGCTGTAATTTTAAACACTTAATGCCTCTGTATAGCAGGAAATCTGGTTAAAAACATGCAACAAGAGCTTCATAAACTCAAAAACTGAATTTTGGTAAGCACAGTTTCACACACATCAGAAACAATTGATTTTCAGTTGTAAATTTACTARCTACTGGACAGAATAAAGAATCTTCCTCCTCCTTTTGAAAGAATGAGGTAAATACYGCCTGAAAGTAAAGATGACAAAGTGCAAAATGGCTAAGTCTAAGGATCTGCTATGAGCAATTCCAACAACCAGTTTAAAATCCGGAGTCCAGATAAAGAAAAAATTACATAYACAAAAAACGCAGAGATGTTTTACTTTGATTATCATTTTGAGCACATGTTTTCTGMCAATCTAAACTCCAGTCAACTCAAAAGCAAACTAGTACAAATAAATGTCACTTCAAACACTCTAAYGCCAAATATATTAATGCAGAATATRTTCACCTCTGTAAAAGAGGCTGAATTTAGCATGGATGCTCTGCCGAATAAGCATGCCCTAATCAATTAGACATACAAAAGGAAATCAAAAYTAGACCTGAAGATTTATATCAAGCCTATTCAAGTCCATTCATTTTACAGCAGAGGCCCACCTGAAGTACCAAGATTCACAATGCTTATCTATTATAAAGATGCCCAACCATCTTCATAACTTCTAAGARACAAGTGTTAAAGGCACTAGGAGTTTTACCAAGGAGAAACAGCAAGATGGATAATACTTAGCCAAAACATCAGTGGGGAGGGAATTGAGAACAGGAGATTAGGATACATCCACAAGCTGAATTAAGAAAGGAAAAACTATACAATTGATAGCAAACACTCTAAGGTCTCTGAGGTAGTACAAGAAAGACTTTGCCTGTATCATGAGGAAAAGCATGGTTAATAACAGGTTCAGAGCAGCAGAAGTGCTCTTGCTTCAGATCTCCCATACCTGACATTCTAACCCCAGGACATTCTACTTACACAAGGATGTTGGACTTCGTAAGTAACCTTCTTTTCATGTATCTGTCTAACAGGACACCAGACAAAAGGAAAAGTCAAACTACACAAAACTCTGATTTCTAACTAAATACACTTATTCTCTTGCAAGTATACTCTTAAATTTAAAAAAAAAAAAAAAAAAAAAAAAAAAAAAAAAAAAAAAAAAGAGAAATTACTTGAATAGAATGTGGTTAGACATCTAAACAGATAAAAAAAATTAAGACCGGAATCTTCTTAGAAAATCAGCTAATTCAAAAATTTAAACTTCCCTAGTGCTACTAAAACACCTCATGTCCATAAATATATGTCCACATTTAAAACAACTAAGAGCTTTAATAAGAAGTGGGCAGCCAAAATGATTTTGAAAAGCCTTATATCTGAAAAAAAACCAAATTCATTTTTGAACATCTTTAACTCACATAAACTCATATTCTATTGAGAGTCTCCTTCTTTCAAGAAAAGCTAGTGAGTTAGTGAACATCTTACCCTCTGGTCACGAAGCAAGACTTCAATATATAAGCACACTTGATTTTCTTTGGAATTTATATTAAAAAGCCAAAATCTGTATTCAGAACCTAAATGAATGAACTTTCTGTCATGCTATCCCTAATATGTCAGGGAAAATACATAACTGTATCTTCTAAAATGAGAGTCATATGGCAAACAGCRTGAAAGCATTCTGCCTGTGGTCTGTCAACTCTGGGATATTGCAGCTTTTCCAAAAAAAGCTCAAGATTACGAACCTCACAGTACACTGTTGATTCAGACAGATTACAGTAGTCCTGACAAGAGCATCATTTCACATGAYCTAACTTCACATGATCTAACTAAGGTTTTGCAATACTTAAAAGATCATTTTCTGTAACAAAGTGCTGAAAAATACTATTAAAGGAAATGGGAGCATAAAAACTGGGTAATATCTGAAAACATCTACAGTCAGGACAGTAGTCAGGACAGCATTTACTATTACAGGAACTAGGATGCAACTTACTTCCTCTAAAATTTCTTACTAACACTGTAGTATAACGTATTTACTTGTCAATCTGTTAAAATCTAAAATGGACTTCGTATGAGCTCCTCTGAATAGCAGCTGAGGAAAATATTAACTCATCTACACTAATTTAACAATTYTGTAGCAACACAAACAAACCCAGTCATACTAGTCACTACASAGTGTCTGTCAGACTCTGAAGTTTCACTTGGTATGCAACMATTTTTTTACTAAGGGCTACAAGATACTAAGAAATGAAGCTCCCTACACACATGATTAAAATAAAATAATCATAGATTTTTGTGCATTAAAAAACCAGGAGTGTTATAATAGTACAAGTACCAAAAATTTACCATCTCCCTTTTTATCTCATCATTCCAATATAGACCTGTGAAGGAAATCATCATTATTATGCGTAACAATTAGTAAAGCTTTGCTTMAAAAATTGAGAGAAATTAGGAGAAGTTAAAAAAAAACTGTAAAAAATTAAAGTCCTTAGTCTCACCTAGGCCTCCGGGGCCAGCCAACAAAAACTCTTGTCTGCCTATCCTTTTCACAATTGGCCGTTTCTCATCACTGCAATAAGGAAATAGGTCCTGGGAGACGCCAGTATTATAATTCAAAATTATATACTGTGTAGTAAGGGCAAGGCATAAGTAGTAACCATCTACAGCCACAGCACAGGGTTGTTCTGGAGTAAACACTTCCTTCACTATTTGGACTCTGTCTTCAAACACCATGAACATTTGAATCGTCCGACGCTTGACCGAGATAATGCAAACTTCAACGCAGAAAGGATCCCCACTCACAGGGTTTTCATTCAGCGTGAACGTCACAGCTCCTTTGATCCTAGCACCGGTGGGGACAGGTTCCAAGTTGATCATGTTCACTAGTGTTATTGTATTGTCACAAAGCACAAGGAGTCTGGTGAGGGCAGAGGCTGCTTTCAATTCACTCACAGGCTTCTTCAAGCCCAGGTATTTGTGTARTTGCTTGGTGGCAGCAAAAGTTACTTTTCCAGCAGTTGATACCTTTTCATCCAACAGAAAGTGATAGATAAAGCAGTCGTTGGTTCCAATATAGAGGTTCTTCCCACAACACTCAATGCACTCGATGTTGATGTAATTTTTGTCTCCCATTAACATCTCCCGCTCAACAGCAGAAACGAGCTTGAAAGCTTTGACGCTCATTGTGTCTTCCGGGTGATCTGATAAAAGAGAAAAAAACCCACTATTTACTTCAGCACATAGAATTAAATATCAGAGGTGGGTATTTAACATTCACCAATGGAAAAACTTAACTGCTGTATTTTTTAATAGCCTATACTCTATTTCCAACCTGACTAAACAAACCAGCAAGCACATTAATAACCACAAATTATTCAAATTTTAATTAATCAAATTGTATGCTTTTACTTCTAACCTATTCTGAAACAGACTCACAACAACACCCAGCTWTTCTGAAGTGATGCTTTCTCCACAAGTCACCAGCATGTTTTTGGCACTCTCAAGACACTTGGGTTATAATAACTTACAAGAGGTTACTGCCAGTATCTTAGTGACTTATAAACCTGTCATGCACAGGTTTCTATCACCTGTACACGAAAACAGACAAGTTTCAGGTCTTAGACTTCCAAAGAAGYCGCAAGGCATTTAGTGCTACTAGTTAATATGTCATGTTGCTTTACACTCAGTTGGAAGCCTATTAATACAGTCTTTTTGCACAACACCACAGGTATATTCCATTTTAACACGTATTTTATATTCCTTACTCTCCAGCAAGAGAAATACATACCTTCCAAGCCAGTTAAATAATAACTTAAACAACTTACAGCTCATAATAAAAATAGTGGTTTGGGTTTGTAGCTTGTTTGTCTTTCTAAAATATCTGCAGATTGCATGGCCCATAAAGCATTCATTAAGCTCAAGATGTAATATCACAGAAATTCAAAGTGTTTGTTCTCCACTAGCAAAATCACTTCAAAAGTCTGTCTTTAAGTGCTAATCAGCACTTCTAATATTTATTCTACAAACTATACCTACCCTTCTGCAATCAAGCACTGTCAAGGGATAGATGCAATTTWTGCAGCTAATAGTATTGTGCAATTTTATTATACTCCAGAGTTATGTTATTTTACAAGAAACCAGTAAACAACTGTGCTCAACACTCCAAAGAAGAGCAGATGAGAAACCGCTGACCTTATTTAATCAACTTTTAATTTGTCATGACTACCTGTAATGGTCACTTAGCCAACACAGGGGAAGGCACAACACTAAACATCTTGAACATACACAATTACTCCTAGTTTACATGTAGAATGGGGATACAAAGCATCAAATGAAATCTCTGCGGACCAACAGAGAAACCAACATCAACAAAATGCTCCTGTGAACAAACTTGAAACTAAACACAGGCAAAACAAATTTAGTTTCCAATTATTACATCTAACAAAACCCTTTGTTTTTGCAAAAGAATACTAAAAACCATGGCAAGAAATTTTGATAACTGAGAGAGAAAAGGTGAGGTACACAACTTGCAGGTAATCACAAAATAAAATTGTATCAGGCTAAAATTATGGCTAGAAGCAAACCATATTACCAAGATACAGTGGTAAGCATTAATGCCAAATACTTCAGAGTTTGTTTTCAGGTTTTTTTTTCCAGAAGTTAAAAATATTTTRGTTTGGGCTTCCATGACATTTTCAAATTCCACCCTCACCTGGAGTGTAATTTAGTGTTATGACTGTCAACAAAAAATGCCGACCAAAAAAACCGAGGAAGCACTACAGAAATAGCTTAGAGTAAAATGATAATGCAAGTCTGGCAACACAGCCGTGTTACCCTCCAACACGATCAAAAGAAACAYGGAATTTTAAATTAGAGAGGGCTGTCCAAAGGTCAACTGCCAAAACAACCCCAACAGTTTTTAAGAGCCTGTGTGTAGCCTGAAGTGATAAACTACTGCCTGGAGAGGTCAGGCAGTTTATGTACCCGAAGTTGCCAAGGACTTAATGCTCCTGTAGCTCAAAGTAAACATATTGATGTATGCAACCAAGAGAAATGCAGAATTTTGCTCCTGACCAAGATGTGTTAAAAAGCCCAAAAGAATTTCCTAAATGAAAGCAGATGAAAAGTAAAAGAATTAATGAAATCTTAGCAAATATATGTCTCCTGAACAGAAAGCACAAAAAATCCGTAGTACTACATAAGTCTGGTAATAAAGGAATAAAAACATTTGTTCTAGAAAAAAAAAAAAAGCTGTGAGAAAAAGCTTTTAGGAACAGTCAGTGCCAACACTCATGACCTGAATGTAACTTCTTTTTTAACATTTATCTTGTTCTCATTAATGAAACCTTAGGGCCTGTGAGCACCGTAAAGGAACATGCTCTGCAGAGCATGCCGTTCCTTTGAAGTGCAAGAGACCACCCCTAGTTACAGATAGYATTTTTTATAGTAGTTTTAGATGTTCAGAACTCCGGAAAACAAGATAATGGGGATGTTTTGCTGTCAAAGCAAAATAAAGTAATAGTCAGGAAAATCCTCAGTCTAGTAGACACTGGTTTTTAAGCGCACTAATAACCCTGCACGCASTCATTTCCTGTAAGAAGTGGGAAGCAGCTCTGCCCCTCTCCTGTTAAGCAATAACCTTGCCTTACATTGCGCTGGCCCCTGCCTTGCAGAGCAGCACCCTCCCTACCTCACCTCCACACCGCTCCCTCTCCGGCACACACTCCTACACCCTGGGCGGGCTCTGATTAACCTGTGGATACGATTCTCCCGAGCCGAGGTGTTGAACCACTCCAGCCCCCGGGAGGACGGGGATGCGCTGCCGTCCCCTCACACACACARCACGCAGCCAGGCCCGGCACCGGGCGGCCCCGGCGCGCCCGCCTCCACCGGGCCGGACACGGAGCCTCTCCCGCCCGCCCTCCCTCCCTCTCCCAGCACCTGCCGGCGCACAGCGGGAGCCGGGCCCGCCGCTCCGGGGCCTCGCGGTGCGGTGGCGGCGGCCGGGGCCGCCTCGGGGCGCGCTGGGATCCGCCGGCGGCGGGCGAGGGGGACGCGCCGCTTCCGGTGCGGCGCCGGCCCCGCCCCGAGCCCGCGTCACCAGCCCGGGCGGCGGGGGRACCGCGTCCGGTCACGTGCGGTAAACCCGCCCTCACCCGCCGGGAACACGCCCGAATGCTGCTCAGGTACAGCCGCAACTCCGCAACCGAGAGAAGAGATYAACRCACTTATTATATRTATTTATTTTATGTATTTATTAGAGAGTTATTATATTTACATTTACTCTATATAATTGTTATATATGTGAGATTATATGTATGTTATATATTTATAAAAGAGATTATATATGTATAAGAGATTCCAAAGAKTTGGGATTATTGCAATATTAATAATAGCAATATTATAAGCCATATATATATATATATTTATATTTCTACATATAGATATATATACTTTTTAAAATTTTTTTTTCAATATGAGACTTATTTTGGGAACTACTTTTTTCACACTCCCACAAAATGCTCTCACTCAAATTGGACTTAATAATAACAAAATTATCTATTACAAGCGAATTATAATTTTGCTATTTTATATATATATATATATATTTTATATATATTATAATTACTACATAACTCGTATTATAAGAGACTTACATAACTCGTATTATAAGAGACTTATACTATTCTTTATATATATTATATATATATATATATTCTTTTATATATTCTTTCTATATATTATATAGCTCTCGTATATTATCCATTAGAAAGATAAATTACTTGTCGGTAGAACTGCCTTGTTAAAGTTTAGGGCTTGGCATGCCTCAGTGAYCTAGGAGGTTAACAAAGCCYGGGGAGAAGGGTGCGCTATTGATAGTGAACACAAAGAATGCGGACTTTATGTGCCACGAAGACATTTGGTGGAATTCCAAAGACAAGGAAAGAAACTAACAAACTAACAAAACCAGCTCAGCAACTCCGCTGAAATCAGCTCCGACCTGGTAAAAGGTAATTCCAGCAGGGGGAGAGCTACGATCACGGATTCACGGCCACCAAGAAACCCACCGGCGCAAGAAAAGAGGAAGACTGAGCATGAGGGCTAATTAGCATGAGAAGTGAGGGAATCATTAGCCGATAGAAGACTAATTATTAAAACAACAGTGTAACTTGTAGCCAATGAGCAGCAATACCTTTGTTTGCTAAAATATATAAATAGAAGTTTTGATGGTCATCGTGTGCTAACCCGATTTTTGGGTTTGCCACATAGCACTCCTTTCTGCACAGAAATGTAAATTACTCCAATAGCTCAACTCTGTGTAAATGGGCCTCCTTCACACTGGTTGTAAGAAGCTACTTTGGGACAATACATACAGCTAATGAACAAAGCAAAGAGGAATGTATCGAAACGGAKGTAAAGCTTTGTTCTTCTAATTAGAAAATCTTAAATAAGAAAAATAATGGAAAATGGTACCTGGTATCATTTATTTTTAAATTACCCTATTCCATTAACAAAACATTAAAAAAAAATATGTCTACTGTGAAACACAATAGAATAAYTCATCAAATCTATGAAAACAATGCAGCTTATTATTCTATTATTTTTACAGCAATTTAAAAAGAAACATTACATTTTTATCAGACTGTTTACATTTCATCCCTATTAGAACTTTAYTGTGAGAGGACATGCTTTGGTTAAACAAAGAGGAAGTATAATTTTGGGTACAAATCCTTACAAAGTAAATAGCAATACAAGAAAATCATGGGGTAACAATCATGATCGGCACAACTAATTTGGTTAGCAGGGATATGTTTCTGTGAGGATAGAACTTACAATATACTTTAGGAAGAGGCAGATGATCTGTTACAGTTTTCAACTGAATTTTCAAGAAAGTAATTTAATTCATTGAAATAAGTACCAAAATACAGGCTGAACATTCATTATATTCATTTATAAGATGACTTGAGTTCAGTTGATATAGTGACACAATTGGCTGAGGTGAGAAATTAATAAGGAAATGGAAATAGAACTAGTCTGTAGTTATGTGCCTACCGGGCACACAACTATGAAGTTGGGGCTTTGGGCAGTCAGCAGCCCTGGCACCCAGCCTGTGCTTCCCATCGGACGCAGCTTCCCTGAAGAGGGAAAGTACAAGGGAACAAATAGTATACATTACCAGRAGACACTTTTGAGGAAGCCATATGACATAAAATTACTAGTTACTTGTACACTTAAATGATTTTTAAATAGTGAAAATTTGAATTTATGCTCTTTGAAGTTCTGCATATGTGTAGCTATAACATGACATTCGTAGTTATGAATCTGCAAGTCCTTCCACATGAATGTATTTATTGTTACATTGTTGCTTGTGCATCRTAATTCTGTAAAATGTGTCTACTGCAAATCACCTCTAATTTTATATTGTAACAACTACACGATTATATACTCATGTAACCATTTGTAATTCCCTATTCTGCTTTTAAACATGAAAGCGGATGATAACCTCCAATGGGCAGGCAGCTGTTTTACTTTGGAATTACAAAGCAACTTTTGTTATTGCATATCAAGTGGCATTAACGAGTGAGTGTTGCAGCTATGGGCAAGATGGAGATTCTGTTTAATTCCGTAGCAAAGTTCTGGCATGCAGCTGTACAAAGGGTTCATACTCTTGTATGYTGACAGAGTGACAATAAAATAGCTGTTCTCCCGGGTGCTATCATCTGGGGGATGATCTCACCTTATCAGCAACACCTAACTCCCTCAAGGGCAGAGAAGCATTGTCGAGAACCCTAGAGAAATAAGAGAGCTGTGCAATCACCAGCTGTATGAAGTTTAACAAGGGCAAGTGCTGGATTCTGCAC